AATTTTTTAGGCATACTTATCCTTGCTTCTTTCATACTTATAATTGCAAGACTTCTAAAATTTAGTTGAGTACTTGATCTACTTACTTCTTTCAATTGCACAATGTTTTGGCATAGACTTTGAATTTTATTGTTGACTTCTTCCATAGATATTGAAATACTACCTCTATAATTAATATTAGAAATATATGAGATTTCTACCTTAAGAATGTTGATCAATTTGTGAAGATATGCAATAGTTACAAATCTATTTTCACTTCTATCAAGAATAACATCTATAATTTTTTCTTTTATAGACAATTCAAAGAAATTCAAAAAATTAAATTAAATGAGGATAATCTACAATCTCTAATATCAAATGATTTTTTTTTACAAAGAGCGGTAGTCTACTCTTTTTAAAGAAAGAATTATTATTAAAAAACTATAATATTAGATTAAAGGTGGATAATTTGCAACCTTCAAAATACAACAATAGAAGTAGAGATAATCCAGTGACTTCTGAAAACAAGACAAGAACAATAAATTAGCATTCTTATCAAATTATCAAGGATATAAATCTTATAAAAATAATAGATCAATACAATATTGTATTATTCAAAAATATTAAAAAACCACTCAAAGATGATATAATATTAAATTAAAAGAACTATTGTCAAAGATAAGAAGATTAAAAAGTCTTGAATTAAGACTAAAGATTAAAAAGGCATTGGAAAGAATAAAGAAGGCTTCACTCTTGTCTCCATATATACTATCAGTTAGGAGCTATGTATCAACTTCCTATAGAACCTCCAACACATGTTTAAACTTGTAAGATTTTTTTTTTTTATATGTCCGCCATATTGTGAACTTTTACGACAAGCTATCCACACTAGCAATATGTGGCTAGCTTATTGACTAAGTTTTTAACCTATCAATTAGCTATGAACATGTATAAAGTCAAATATGCCTTTATAAAGCTTCATCAAAAGATAATATCAAATCTACCTATATTTACTTTCTACTTAGAATTTCTTATCTAGGTAAATATATATGTCAATGAGAAGTATATAAGCAATAGTAGCACATTGATTATAATAACACAAAAATTAACTAATAGATCTTTTTTTTTATGATGACTCACAAAATAATTATTAGAGAGCTTCACAAAGATTAAAGTTTAGAGTTATTCATTATTCACTCTTATAGAGACCAAGGTAACTTCTCTAATGAATCTTTTGAAATTAGCAAGAAAATTCTAAAAGCTTATAAAGGCTTATTGTTTAGTTGAAAGTTATGGATGCATTTAGAAGAAGACATAGGAAATTGAGATGTTAGAAGAGAGCTTTACAAAGGTTGAAAAGAAGGATAAATTTGGATGGAGATGAAAAGAATAGTAATTATGAGAGTTAAAACTTTTTAAAATAAGCTTTGATGACTTCAAAATTGAAAAAAAGAACATCTTTTTAAATAAATTTTAATTTTTTTGTAATGACATGTATCTAGAGCACTTGTTATAAGAAAGTGCATTGCAAATATAAACCAATAATAATAAAAATATATATATTAGATACATTGATCAATAAATTATTAAAAAAAATATAAAAATAATTTGAGTGATTAAAATTCATGATCAACTTTGAAATATATGTCAACAAAATTTTGAATTTGGAATATAATAATAAGACATATAAACTTAGATTATGAATATAAAAAATAAATAATTAATTATCTTGTAATTAAGTAATTTTTATTTTATAAAAATCTTTTAAAGTAGTTTTAAGATTAATATATTATTTAAATTTGATCCAAGTAAGTATTCAAGCTTGGCATTATAATTAAATGAATTGAAATACCTTACAAACTTGATTTAATTTCTATTTAAATAAATCTTAAAATTTGAAATTATTACTAAATAAATTGAATATTTTTAAAGCATTGTATTAATTGATTTTATGCAATTATTCATATTTGAAATCTTTGCTAAATGGATTATAACTTTATTAACTACTCTTAAAATTATTATTAATAATTTTCTTATATTAAGAATTTTTTAAATAAGCTTTCCTTGTTTGTTCTTTAATAGCCGTTGTGGAGGATTTTAAGAGGAGAAGACAAAAAAGAAAGAAGAGAGATATATTTTTACCCCCTCTTTTCTCTCTTCCCATCTTCCCTCCTCTCTTTTAAGAGGGATATGGAAGTAATGCCCTAATAGATTGATATAAGTTCAATTTGAAGCTCTTTTTAGGCAAGCACTAGGATTAACAATAGGATTTTGTCTACATGCAATATAAACATCATTATATCATATAATAGGAGTTCTTTGTAATAGAGTTAGATTCCTTTGGATGCTCTCTAATAGATGTAGCTTTAATTCTAAAGTAATTCAATTACATCTTTATATCTTTTAAACAAGATTGATATAAATTTGATTTGTACATATTTGTAACAATTTCCAATCATCATAGCATTCAAAGGATATATTTTCAAACATAAACAAGAATATTACATATTTGAATACATTTTTAGTTTTTATAGACTTAAGTTTATAATCTCTACTAAATGCATAAGATAAATTTATATTATTAGCTTCAATTATTATAGATGAGGATTCAAGCTTAATATCATTACAAAATAAATTTAACATCTCTATATCTTTGGCTAATTTTTTTATAATGAATGCTTAAGTATGACACCATTTCTCTTTGTATTTGGCAATCTTGCATCTATGATTAAACTTTATCTAAATAGGTATTTAAGTTTGAAATTATTACTAAAATAATTTAAAAAATCTTATATATTTGAATATATATATATATATATATATATATATATATATATATATATATTCAAGTTTCATATTATAGTCAAATGCATTAAAAAACCTTATATGTTTGACTAAAATTGATTTATATTAATACTCAAATTTGACATTATTTTTAAATGAATTAGACAATCTTATATCTTTGACTAAATTTAATCTAAATAAATACTAAAGATTAATATTGTTGCTAAATAAATTAGGCAATCTTATATCTTTGATTCAATTGATTTACATGAATACTCAAGCTTCATATCATCATATAATGAATTAGGCATTTTTATATCTTTAAATATACTTGGTATGAATAGGTGTTAAAATCTGAAATTAAATTCAAAAGAGTTAGAATTCTTACATCTTAGAGTAACTTCAATATAGGTGAATGCTTAGGTTTAAATAGTATTATTGAATAAAAATTTTAATCTACATATTGGATTCTATTTTATATAACAAAATACAAAAACTTAAAATCATGGTCAATTAGATTCATCAATCTTATATCTTTAAAAAAAATTAATTAATATGAATACTTTAGCATGATATAAGCACCATATAGATAGGATTTTTTTTTCTTTAAATATACTAAAATTATTAAAGATAAATAATTTATTTATTTGTAAAATATAAAATTTTTAGTATCTTTGGATATACTTGCATTACTTCAAAATCTAATAATTACCAAATCTTAATAATATATAGTCAATTAAGGTAGGTAATATTATACTTTTAGATATATTAATATTATATATATGTATATTTAGATTTAATATTATCATAAAATATATTAGATAATCTTATATCATAAAATACAATTATAATTTAAAGATAATTAATCACGTCTATATTACCAAATGAAAATTATATGTCAAATTTTGGTATTAAAGTAATAAATATAAAAATAAAAAGGCTTCAATTTACTTTTTAGCCTTTATTACTTTTTACTTACAAAATTTTTTAAATTTATTTTTTGAATAATGAAAATATGAAATGATTTATTTCATTATTTTTTCTATTCATCAATGTCTAATAGAATTAATTTTAAAAAATCCTTTTAAAATCAAAATAAATTATTTTTTACAAGAATATGTATATTTGATTGTATTTTTATGTTGTAACACAACTATTAGGTGAAAGAGAAAGACATATATTATATTATATAAGAACTTATTTCAAAATATAGTAGAAAATTACCTTTATAAATATAGATAAAAATTAAGGAGGTAGTAAAATAATTTAGTGCTAATGGTGCATTTTATTTTATTTTTTAAAAAATGTACTTATTTTGTAGGACTATAAACAAGACAAAATAAGGTAGATTAGCAAAATATTATTTTAAGCATCTTTAGGTGGAAGTAAAGAGTAGATTTAAGAAAAAATTATTTAGAAAAATCTTGGATTGATGCTCAATGAGGGTACTTATGAACAAAATTAAAACTAAATCCTAAGGCACAAAACCAAGCACTTACTATAGATGAGAGATTTTTTTGTTGATTAAAAAGAAGGATACGAGAGCAAACTTAATAAGGCTTCTTTAAGCATTGGTTTTAAGAGATTTGAGTGCAAATTGATTTTGTGAGAGTTTTTAAAAGTTAGGATTGTTTTGGATGACTCTATTTTTTATTGAATAAAAAAGGATTTTATTTTGGTGAATTGTGTGAGTTTTGAAGCAGATCTATTTGTAATTTTTTTTTGATATTAAGAATGTAGTTAAGCAAAATGTGTATCATAAATTGTAGCTCAATTTGTAAGTCACATCTTATGTGATTGAAGTTCAAATGAATTAGGGTATCAAATATTGGATTTTAAAGATTAGTGATGGTTTCATAGATTTTGAAATTCTTTGTTTGTTTGATTAGAATGATTCTCTTACGTATTGCAATTCCACCAGTGATCTTTCTCAATCCACGAACAACTGTAACAATCTGCAGGTTTTCAAGTTCAAGGACCTTTAAGGCCATGTGTTATAATGTCTACAATTCTGCATCAACAAATTAGACTGGGTTGACTTAAATTGCACTGCATAGTTTCATGACGAATGCAGCAATATTGCTGACATAAGTTCCCATCTGCATGCCTGTTCATCTTTATTCGGCAACTTTCTCGACGTGGAAGACAAAAAGAGTTGACCACGATCAGGAAAATGCTGAGGAGACACTTCAAACATTGCATACGTATACAGCCGTCTTATACATAGCCACCAAGTATTCAATATTTCAAATTATTCCATTCTTTCATGCTGTTCCGAGTGTGATATTGACACTACAATAAATATTTCACTCAATCATTGCATCACTCCATGTATACCCGAAAGCTATGTAGATGCTGCTTTCGTCACCGCTTACAAATTGATTAAAGCTTGCACTGATTCAGTTTGCTCTTGATCATGACCAGTGATTAAAACTTGGTCCAAGGGAGTCCTGACAGAAGATGGGCTTAAAGACAATCCTTCCCTGATAATTGTTGTAATTCGGCATATAAATTTATGTAGGTGCTGAGCTGCTAACGAGAGATAAGCATGACACCGCTAAATTACAATACACAAAACATGTGCGGTTCCTAAATTTACAAAAGAACCTGCTTTTAAGGGATCGTCATCATCTCTAATCCTGTCCTTCCTCGCCAGAGTAGGCTCTGCAAACTGCCTGATGGCCCATCTTCATCTTTTTAAGGATAGTCCACGTGACGTGTTAGAGACATTGCTGTCTCGATCACAGCAAGCGAAGTATGTCTTTGAGTCAATAATTCTACCCAGTAGAGCTTGTTTGGTTGCAAGGGTGAAACAGTTATCATGCTAAAACAATGTTGGTACGAAAGACCAGCCAAACTCAAGGTTTCGCTTGAAGTACCATCGCCCAAGCTGTTACTAATTGCTGCAAAGCGCAGTACGGCTATAATACGGAAATTGTTCAATGCGAACTCCGTTGCGAGTCTCGTCCATTGACTAAAAGAAAACAACAAAATCAACACATCAGATAACACCAAGGAAAGTCAACCAAAAATTTACACGTCAACCAACAAAACTGCTCAAGCCGAGGCCTGGGCGAAAACTGGTTCGAATAAGGCACAACAAGATGAAGCCATGAACAGTACCTCGAGTTGACTGGCGGTAAAATGAGGAATTCCAACTTGGGCGACTGCAAGACCACCAAAGTAATTGCCCATTAAGACCGCTTGCTCTATAGGGAGGCCCTGGTACAAGCCTGCGGAGAAGCCAGCCAAGAAGCTATCTCCAGCTCCTGTAGGGTCTACTTCTATTGCAGGAAACGCAGGGATACGGAACTCCCGGTCGTTGGAGTAAATCCTGCTGCCATTCTTTCCCTCAGTAACGATGAGACATGTCTTTTGCCTCACTTTTTCAATGTCGATATACAATGCTTCATTGCGAGCTGCCTTCAAAAAATGAATGTCTTCGAGCATGTCAATGAAAGGAGTCTCGTCCAGATTTCGAAGGCCGACCAAGCCAGTTTCTGGATCGATGGTCCTTATAAGTGCCTGAAAAGGCCGGAATGAAATTGTAAGTAAAGCAGAGAAACAAGGTATATAGCTTGGCTAAGACCAGTCAATCAGTACACAGGACACCTAATAACTCTTTCAGCTAACAGTACACAAAATACACAGCACCCTCTCTCAACAAACGAACGTGTGCCTGGGCAGCAAACTAAGACAATTCAAAATTCTTGAGATAGATCGCTTGTAGCACAAGTTAAACAAACCCGTCTCTATGCTGGGTCAAGTTGAATACTCATAGCTAGATTAATCCTACCCCAAGACATGACCCATGACTTAATGGTGGAATTGTACAGCACATGGCCAAATACCAAGAATATATACCTGCACATCGACCACCACATAACGGGCCACGTCAACCATGTGCTGCAAGGTTTCAGGCAATATTTCGCAAGCAATCCCCACCGCAAGACCTAGTTCATAATCCATTTCGGGTATGTCCATCGAGTCAATTGGTGCACAAATACTTCCGGCCTTCAAAATCCTCTCTTCCCCTTGTGTAAAGTCTGCGAAAAACTCAGTGGTTTTCTGGTCTTCGATGACCTCAGGTGGGTGTGTAATCTGTGAACAATACAAGAAATCGGGCCCAACCTTTGAAGCTACCTGCAAGCAAAGTATTGCCACATTTTAGTGAAGTGAACATAGAAAATTAGTTCTAAGAGCAGCTGCCATGGTTGAAAGTTTGCTTGTAAAAAACCCATAGACAAATGAACTCTTCGTTCACTTACCCGGGATCCTATACCAAGGGCTTCGAACACATTAGTGATGTACGAAACAGACCCTCCCAAACTATACACAGTCTCGCCTCCATGAAGGGTGATCTGGTCATGGCAATAGTGTCCTACAACAAGAGCTGCACATTGATCTTTCTTTCTCACAGAATGTCGGCGCATGTACTTCAGATCTGGGAGTTTCTGCTTCTTCGTCTGAGTCATTCCATCCATCCAAAGCAGTGTTTCCTGACAGCAACAAAGTCGGAGTAAGTCCAGAAGGAAGCCAAAAGCTATTGCACCTCCCTAAACGACGCACTGCCAAGCCGCGCTCAAACCCAATCCAGGAACAAGTTTCGCGTCCAGTTTACAACTTGGTCTGAAAGAATTTCCACTTAGCATATAACACACTTCCGGCTGTTGTGCGCACTTTGTCGGTTCCTTGGGTTATATTATAAACCCGTTGTTTTCCAAATGCCACAATTACATCGCTGAGACATTCGAGCTCGTTGACATTATTCTAAAATGTCCATGTGAGCTTCCTTGGAGAAATTCTCATTATTAGCTCGGGTTAAACTATCCTGACAGTTTCATACTGTAGACTTGCTACAATCTTCAGCAAAACAATGAAGGTGTCCACTGCTTTGTTCTTCACACAGAAAGCGAAGATTCTAAGAAAAAAACTTTTATCACACGACGTCAAAAAATAAAACGGAAAGCAAGTAACTGCATCAAAGCTGTGAAACCAGCTATTGCACAAACAATATGCAACTTGAACCTATTTGTATTTTGATTCCCACAAAGAATCAGTCCAGTAAAGGGTCTTACTGGATATAAGCTCCCCGAGAAACCATGACATTCTTCCTTGCCGCAAACCTTCATAAAATTGCTCAAGACTTCATGATTTACCCCTCTTTCTAAACTGCATGCGACGATCGACCAACCGATTGGTCTCCAACTACCCACATCTCGCATTCAACAAAGACACTCACGAATCGTCCCAAAAGAACTCACCAAGAAATGAGAAGCCATTAACAAGACCCGAGAAAAGGAGAAGGCAGGGGTGGGAGGAGCAGGAGCAGGCAATCCACCTCCTTGATGTCCACATCCGGCGCGAAGGCCGACAGCAGGGGGCTGTACCCCACCGAATGACTGGAATCCAACGCCGCTCCCGACTCGCTCAACCGCGTCGCGTCCACCTTCAATGCCCTCCCGCCCTTCCCCCGCTTCGGCGTCCTGGCACTCTCCACCTTCAACTGCTGCTCACCCCCGCGACACCCATTCTCCCTGTCGCCTCCCATCCTCACCGACGCCTCGCCTCGATCTCTCCGCCCGCACGACCTCCTTCGAAACCTCCTCCCCCACACCACCCCTCCTCCCAGACCCACACCGACACTCCTGATCTCAACAAAAACCCTCCACCAGTGCACACCCTTTCTAAATTCCTCCACCTTCTGATCCTTCCTGAGCTAAACCCACGACGACGTACCCCCCCCCCCCCCCCCCCAAAAAAAAAAGAAGCCCAAACGCGACCGCAGCAGTCCGCCCTTCTTTGCAACCACGCATCAACCCCCGCTTCAGAGCTGCTGCAGCATGAAAAAGGCTTCCGACGGAATTTATATTCGAAAGGCAAAAACAAGGAAAGCGTGATGGAAAGGGGGAGGGAGTGTAATCAGGCCCGGAGTTTCTATCTGCAAGCCACTCACTCGGTGCCCCACAATTCGGCGACGTGTATGTAGAATCCCGCGGCGAGCGTTGGACTTGGCTGGGGAGAGGGGGGGATTCAACAAATGCGAACCCCGCGGTCTTCGGGGATGTTATGGGTATACCCTACCAACGCGGAGGGGGTTAATAACAAGCATATCCTGAATTACTTGCAGCTCTCCGTGGCAACCACGCTCCATGTGTCGGTAATCGAGGAGGGACGCATTTCTGATGTGGTGAAAGCAAATAACACGGGTTCTTAATAATAGACTTTAATGTTTCGAGTTCTTAGTAAAATCCTATCAAATACTTATATTCTTAGCGACCATACCCCCCTAAATGACGATATCCTCCTTCGATATTAACAAATTCTAACACACAATGAAGCAACTTTTTCAAAAAACCAAAAATCTTGCTTCTTTATTTATATTTGAGTACAGATTAATACACACTTCCTTTTACAGAATAGGGTTGTTAGGTAGACAACCAGACCAACCAACACATCGAATTATTCCAGTTAAAGGTTCCCTTCGGTGTGAGAAAAAATCTCACGTGGCTAAAGTTTTGTAAGCGATTTGGACTCACACATGCCACGCTGGCATGTGTGGAATCGCGAATGAACCACGAAGTTTTGAATGAAGTAGGCTGTAAATGGTTGGGCGACTAAATTTGGAAGGATTAGAGCCTTTTGCAAAAGGACAAGAGTATCCGGAAGAGGCGATTCTGTATATATTTATGTGGTAGAAGAGATAGAGAGAGAAAAGATTCTACTGTTTCTTCAAGGGAACCGGGAGTCTTACACTGTGGATGTGTACGTAGTTGCCTTGTAATAGATGGGGGTGGTGGATATAGATGCCACTAGGGAACGTGTTCTCCTTGTTCACCTTTTGGATCCATTTTTAGCATGGTGACCCCTTCGGAATTATATTTAAAGAACTTGGTGTTCATTGGGGTCAAATATGGAATAATGTATGTTTATTCTTATACATTGCTTTATACTTGAATGCACATGTTTGGCTATATATATATATATATATATATATTATTGGGTAAAGAGATGATTATTTGTGAAATTTGAGAATAATTAGGTTATGAGATGGTAATTTCAATAATTTGTTTGAAATGGCCACATTTTTTTAAGGTTTTCAAAATTGAGAATTCTTTTCCATTATGGTGAATTTTATGATAAGAAAATCTTCTGTATTGATGTTAAAATTATATTTTTCAAGAGCACAATTATTATGGATTTAGATAGGGTCTACTGAAGAGTTTTATATTTAAAAATAAATGACCTGTTACTTGATATTAAAATTTACGTTTTATTAATATATAGATATATATATATCTAATATCTAATATCTATTTTTAAATTAATTTAAAAGAAACTATAATCAGTTGAATTGTATTATTTGAGAGCATTTAAAATGTAAAATGATAGAAAAAATAATTTTAATTATTAGAGATAATATAATAGTCTTTAAGAATACAATGTTGTCATACGAAAACAAAATCAAGCATACATGCATGGATGTTCTTTTATTATTATCATTAATTTATTATTTTTTTATTTTAATAATAGGAAAATCAAAAATAAAATGTTGTCCACGACATTTTTTAAAAATGAATAGAGCTAAAATTGATCTTTATAAACAAAAAAGATAAAAGATAAATAAAAAATAAAAAATATTTTGATCATTGTAGATATGACTAATTTTTTGGCTTTGTCTCCTTTAAATCAACTCTAAGTAAGTATGTATATATATATATATATATATATATATACTTTTGAAACAATTGGCATGTAGACTATATATTAAGTTTTTCTTGTCTATTTGGTAGCTGTCAAAAAGTCAATTGCAAATCTATTCCGTCAATATATATATATTATATCATCTATTTTATCATCCATATTTTTATTATTCATTTATAAATATGTATGGTATTGATTAATAAAAAGATGGATGTAATAAAAGAGATACTTGTGTTTAAAAAAAAACTTTAAAAATGTAAATATTAATAAATTATATTATTTTTAAGATTTTTTTTTTTTTTTTTTTTTTTTTTTTTCTTAAACCTTTAGATATGGAAGAAATATAACATCTTTGGATATTGAAGAAAACACTCAATTTATTTATGTATGCTATTTTCTAAAATTATAGAATTAAGTATGATAAAAATAAAAATATATAATATTACTATGTAATAAAATATTAATATTAATATGTTCTAAAAATATTTGGTAATAATTAAAATTTATTAAAATAAATTATAGATTAGGTGGTGTTTTATAGAAACAGATGTCCGATGATTTGTTAAGCACTAAGACACAAAATATATAGCTTTATTAAGAAATTTTAGTTATAGCTAAAATTGAAAAATATTTATAAATAAAGTACTGTAAAATTTTATCAAAATTTATTTATAAGGAAATTTTAGTTATAGCTAAAATTGAAAAAATATTTATAAATAAAATACTGTAAAATTTTATCAAAATTTATTTATAAGGAAATTTTAGTTATAGCTAAAATTGAAAAAATATTTATAAATAAAGTACTGTAAAATTTTATCAAAATTTATTTATAAGGTAATTTTTATAGTAAATAATATAAAATTTTAATAGTCTTATTAAAAACATATAAGTTGAAAAAAATCAATTTTCAAAAATTATTTCGAAAATGATTTTATTTTATAGTCTAAACCAACAAAGGTTACTACGCTTGTAAATAAAATTTTTAATATACTTTAAATTTAATAATATTAATCTAAATAAAATTTAATTTAAATTAATTTAATTTTTTTCTTCTTTATACTAATATATAAGATATCAAAGATGTATGCCTATTAAAGTGGTAATCTATTACAATCCATGGAAATATGATGTCTTAATCACATTGATTGCTATTAAGTAACCTATATTTTTATAAACCATGTTTAATAGATTGAATAACCTATCCAATCAAGCCATCTACTTTAGGATAATTTCTAGGAGTCATACAATAATCTATCAAAGCTATTATATGTAAAGTGTCAAAAGTCACAATAAATATTTTTCCTTGATTCATTAAGACTCTAACAAGTATGCCAAAATGTGCCAATATATAATCAAGAAAAATCACACCTTTCAACTTTGAAGAGTTTGTGTCAAAGCCACAAGTTCAATCTACTTAAAAAAATGCTTTATTATCACTAATATATATTTAGCTCCATGTAAGGTAATAACAAATAACCTAGTAAAATCCAAAGACTAATGGTAGCTAAAATCTATAATAAATAAAGGTGTCAAGTAAAATGATAAAGTATTAAAACTTAACATTGCTTGATTACATACTTCATATTAAGAAACATATGTGGAAACTTATTGATATATGTTAGTCTACTAATAATAGTTGAGCAATATAGAATGTGTCTTATGCATCCTAAAATGTTCGAGCTCTTAATATACTTTATGCATTAAGGGAGCTCTTTGATTTGGTCTTGGAACTATGTACTTAACTCTATTAAATTACCTACAAAATAATAAATTATTCTTCCAATAAAACCTTATTATTCAATGGCTAATTCTATCTCTTCTATAGTAAAGATAGTCAAAGAAATTATTCTTTATTGAAGCTTGTGCAAGGCACATGATCATCTAAAGCATTGCTAATTACTTAGATTCTATTAGTTTTTTCATTTGAACTTTAATCAAACACCATAGTTGTAGAATATAACATAAAAGTTAAGTATTTAATTACATACCATCATAGAATTGTCTCTTTATTCCAATTTCTATGCCATTAAGTTTTTCTCAAGTTTTCTTTTGAAGGACTTGGAATATAAGAGAATATGTTTGTATCCAAATTAATAATACTTATTTAATGTACATCTTCACGATTGTATTTTTGAAGCAATAAAATCCATCTAACAATCTTGCTATTAAGTTTGCATAACTCCATAAGCCACTTCTAAGATTGATGGTAAGTCATCCAATATAAATTGTTTTTTATTCAAATAAATTAAAATATGAGCAATTGTACAAATTATTGCTTGTACTTCTTCTTCATAAAATAAATAGTTTTATTTTAATTTTTATTACTTTTAAAAAAAATGCAATGATATATTTTCATTTTGCATCAAAATTTTCTATTAAGATTGCTTTTAATCCTATTGTACTTCAATTTGTATGTAATTGAAAAGATCTAATAGTAACTAGATATCAAAGCACTACAATTAAATCCAACTTTTGGTATAATATATCAAATATTTGTTGGTACTCATGACGTCAAGTCCATAGATGATCCTTGTTTATAAGAATTACTAAAGGCTTGGAAATAAAATTGAAGTTTTTGATAAAATTTTAGTAATTATTTATTAAAAAAATAAAAAATAAAAACATCTAAAGATGTGAAATATTGAATAGTGTCAATTTTTTTTACAAGGCTTATATCTTTGCTTGTTGCATGCTAAGTCCTCCTAAAATAATGATGTAGCTTAAATATGATAATTATTTGTAAAAGAATTTATACTAGCTATGATGTAAGCATGATCTTCAATATTATAATTGTTTAAATATTATTTATAAATATCTCACATATTCTTGTAGCCATCTATTAAAAATAATAATCTCATCAATGTAATATCAAAAAAATGATAAGCTAGTCAACATTTAACTCAATACCTTCTAAAATTTAGTAGATTTATTCTTAAAACTAAATATAATAAATGTCTAATAATAGATTTAATCTTTGCTATTTAAGTTGACTCTTCCAAATAATATCTTTTTTTAGTC